TGGGAACTGTCTGAACATTCCTGAAGTCCACAGGACAGGCAGATGGACAGGGAGGATGGGTGTAAGGTGGGGGAGAACAAGAACAAGCTAGAATTTACAGCATGGGCAGAATTACATGAGGAACTGAAATCTGTGTTAGTTCTTGTTGACTCTGACCTCAAGTTTACTAGCCTCCTACAGAAGACAGGGTACATTGTCACAGAGCTAAGCATACATACCTAGATCTAGAGTTGAAGAAGCTGAAAAAAGATAAAAGGGAAAGTGAAATTGTTGCAGGCTTGGTTGCTGCCTAATGACAGCAAAATAAGCCAGCAGATGAATAACAACCTATGTGAGCTACAAAATGGCTTCTGCCTCTCTCCATCTTCTAAATGCAGTCATGGGTGGCATAAATGACATTTGTGTCAATGAAGGACTGCATATACTATGGTGGTCCCTTAAGATTATACTGGCTATGTTACATAGTCTAGGTGAGTAGAAGACGATACCATCTAGGTCTGTGTAAGTACATTTTATGATGTTCACACAATGGTGAAATTGCCTAATAACTCATTCTTCAGAATGTATCCCATCGCTAAGTGACATGTGACTGTATCCCACAAGAATCTCTCTTGTGGTCCACCATAATGTAAACCACAACAGAAAACAGGGAGGAAAATCCTGGAAATGTAGTTCAACTTAGACAAGCTGTATTGCCGGAGTGCCCAAGAAAACTTTTGATGTAAACATTTACTTTTTGATTTTGATAGTGGTTTCACAGATGTATACGTATGTTGAATCCCCTCCAGTTATACACTTTAATGGTTACACTTTATTGTGCATTTATTATAACACAGTGAAACTGTAAAACAAACAAAAAAACAAAACAAGGCAAATCCAAACAACAAAAAAACCCTGCCACCTAGCCTGAGTCAACTCAGACTCTAATTGGCTTAAGAGAATCAGTTACTGTTCCCTGTCACTATCACTTCTCTCAGTGTCCTGGGATTTCCCCACCCTGATTCTTATCTGCTTTTAACTTTTTTTTTTTTTTCCTGCTACAGATTTTCAGTTGTTTTAGCACAATGTTACCAGACTTTTTCTTTGGTTGGTTGGTTGGTTGGTTGGTTGGCTTTTCTATTTTAATTGACTCAGGGATTAACAGACTTTCTCAAATTTTTAGCTTGAAAACTTCTATCACTTTTTAGAAAACTTTTGGCCATCATCTACTCAAATATTACTCTTTCATTTTCTAAATCGTTTTCCTCAAGTATGTTCAATCTTTCACCAGATTTCATAGAAGGCCACAGCATTGTAACTATAATGCCAACAAGACTCATCTTGTTTACATCACATTTTTATTGAATGACAAATGGTCAAGTGTTAAAATCAGTTATTTTATCAAGGGCTAAAATCACATCTCTGAAAGAAGCTGTGATATATAATAATAAATTTAAACTTCTATCAAATTTAAGTATTATTACATAACATTAAAATTTCAATAAGAAAATTATTCAAGTCTGACAACATATGTAATAACAAAAATTTTTTCAATTCTGTTAGTTTTCTAAAGTTACTACATTAAATATTTGTGATACTATGCAAACACTGACTATCAAGTGAAGTAAGGTGGAAGCAAAATTTTTTTTACTACATCTTCCAGTAAATGGTATTGCTTGTGGTGATGTCTTTACTATTATTATTTTCTATTTGTTTTCCTCTCTAAGAGGAACTGACTGATATATAGCCTTTTTTTTTTTCATTTTCAGTTACTAGACTTTAATATTTGACTCATGCTGATGATGCAGTTTCACAAAGCAATCCCACACACTAAAGTTTTGTGCACTGCTTGAAAAAGTTATGTAAGAAATGCTTTCCCTACCAAGGCTCAGTTAGACAACTTTCTAACGAAGCTTCGGGAAATGAATGACTTGATTAAGGGATGCATTGAAGTAGTATACTAGATGTGATAAGTTTAGAAAGTAATGAGTGAATAACATGTTCCTTTTTTTAGGTAGATGAAGAATACTCCTTAGGACCAGATAGCGTCTATCCATACATTCTGAAGATAGTCTGGAATTAAACTGTGTAGCTATTAGCTCAAAATGAGCAGCCTCTCATTTAAAACAACACTTAAACTGGGGAATTTATGGATTGTCAGTACAGAAACAAGAAGGTGTCCTGGAACTTATGAAAGTTTAAATAATGAATTCCTTTCACTCACTGGAAAAATTATGTCCTATTAACAAAACAACTGAATCTTAACCAGGCTGAACCAAATTTACATAAACGATTTTAACTGCGGGAACTTTTACTTGAAAAATGCTATTCTTAAAGGGATACATAAGCATGTGAATCACATATAATATGTGAAGACTAGAAAAATTCTTGAAACTGATCCCCTAAAAATACAAGAAATCATCATGAAAGAGTAATATATCGGAGCAAACTTTCAATGCTTTGAAAATATTGAAGAGATCCATATCCCACTCCCACCCCACCTCCACCACTCTAATCTGTCATTGACCAATTTGTGGCCTTGAAAGACCGTGGATTTAAGACAGCTGCATTCTTGGTGAAACAGTAACTCTTTCCTCGCTCAACAGAACAGAAAAGGAATAAGACTTAGAACTCTGACAGAAACCACTTTGCAAAGCAGAGCTGCAAGATATAGTCAAAGTTGAAAGCATTTGAGAAAAACTCTGGAATCATACAGACATGTTAATATTAACTCTGAAAATAGTCTCACAAAGGAGTACATTAGCCATTCAAACCTCTGAATAACAAGATTATGCACTCAATATAGAAAGCTGATTTACAAAGACTTGAAAATGAAATATTTAACATTAAAACCGGTAATCAACTTTTTAATATTTTTCCTAAATAATTTGGACATTGAAATGCGCCTTACATATAATCATTTATTATGTTTTGTAGAATCATAGAATCTCTGGTTAATAAGGATTTCAGGTTGATAGAATGATATGCTAATGCATCTTTTCTGCAAGTTTTATTAGCTACCAGTTTTCTTCCAGATAAAAGTCTGGGTGGGTTTCAATAGACTGCTTTGAATTGGCTTTTAAAATGTTGTGCGTTTCTGTGTGTATGTGTTCATGTGTTTTGAGAAAAATTATCTCTGTCAATAAAATGTCTAGCTGCATATAATTCTTTAATCTGTCTTTTTAAATTGACCAACTATCACAGGATGAATATTTTAGGTTACTATAATCGATGTACTGCTGATGGTGTTTAAAACCACAAACAAATAAATGAGTGAACTAATGACTCAATTATTTGTCTGTCTAAATCACTAGCGAAGTAACTCACTCACTCACTCACTCACTTGCTAACATCAGTTATGCATTAGATATTTCGGTGGTTTTTGATATAATTATGGCTAGGTATAGAAAAACTGTCAAATTCTACATTTTCAAACATCTTTTTTCTCCTTAGTTTCCCAGGACATTTTTTTAGCATCTCTGTTAAGTAGTAAATTCTACATTATTAATCAACAAATGAGTAAAGAATTCAAGAGTATAAATTTGGCACTAATTAACTAAATGCTTTAGTAAAAGTTTGTTAACATCTCTAGAACTCACTTTTCTTCACCAGTATATTGAAAGAATTGGAGTAGAAATATCTGTAGACTATTTAAATTTAAAAATTACCCATCTGTAAATCTGGTCTATGAATTCTAAAAAATTAATGTGAATATAAAATGTTTAGAAAACAACAACTTTTACTTGTGATAGAGACACTGCCTAAGGAAGTCAAATTATAAACACAGTTTAATATGAACAGAAAAAGACTTAGAAGGAATATAATTTATGCCTATAAAGTCATTAACACCATGGATAATATTAATACAGTTTTACTTTATATTCCCATTAAATAAGAACTAGAACAATGGTTAGGCACAACACTAAATTATAAGAAATTTGCTACAAAGACACATTTCTCATTAGCTTAAACTTGAATCATCCCATTATCTCTTTCGTGAATTCACTCAGAGTTTAATTTGCATATGAATCATCATTAGCATTTTCCCATCAATATTAAAATAAACACATGTTGAACTTCTCTTCTTTAAATCCTAATTTTAAATTTGAAAATAATCAACTTTATAAAAATTCACTAATATTTTACTTAAGCTATTATGAGCAAGCTAAAGTAAATATCTTAAGTATAGGAATTTAATTATGAAGTAACAAATATAGAGGTTGAAGACCATATGACAATAAATAGTTTTAAAAATTCTGTTGTGAAAAACAAAGTATTGTCGGGTCCACCGCTGGCCGACCCGTACAGCCCTAGCCTCGTTCCTTCTGGTGGGCAAGCAAATGGCCCGGGATTCCTCTTTCCCTCCAGTCCCCTTTGGAAGGAGAATGGGGAAGAGAGCCATGAAGAGAGGTGAGCACACCACCGGCCGGTTAAAGGATACTCAGACGCTGCGGGGGTTTTGCCAAGCAGTTCCGTTTATTAGCACACAAGCATTTGCTTTTAAAGGCAAATGGGAAAGGCAGGTTTTTTACATGCTCCAATCACCTTAAAGGTTCTGTCTCAATGCCAATCTATTGCAATCAGGCAGTGTTCACAAGCACGGCCTATAAGGGCTAAGTCAAGGTTCCTGCAGACACTCCCACCCTACTTCCTCCCGGCGCCCTCTTAGGCTGCCACCTTAATCCACTTGTCACTTAAGGTGGCATTAGTTTTTAAGGCCCAACAAAGTATTAGAGTCATATTCCCAATTCTGACTTTCCTCTGAGTCTTTTCTCTAAAAATGAGGTAAAAATAAAGAAAAATAGCACTGAAGTGTAAGATCATACACATACACCCAAACAGAACTGCAAATTTTTAAGAACAGTAAAATGGTAAAATTGGCTTAAATAAGCAGTTTTATTGTTTTAGTGTTTAAATAGGAAAATCAATAATACTATGCAGAAAATATATTTAAAATTTAATAATGTACAACTATGGTCTAAAGGTTTATTTATTATTTTAATAATTAACCTCAAATAGTTTTACTTTTTTGAAAAAATTGTTATCTTATTGACCATATCTTTGAAGGCTATTTTCACTTGCTTATTCCTTAAAGTATAGATGAAAGGGTTCAACAGAGGGGCAACTGAGGTATTTAAAACAGCCACTCCCTTATTAAAAGTTTCTGAATCCTTAACAGAAGGATTTATATACATGAAGATACAGCTTCCGTAAGAAAGTGAGACCACAATCATATGAGAAGAACATGTAGAAAAAGCTTTTCTTCTCTGCTGAGCAGAGGGGATTCTTAGAATGGTCCTGATAATGTACATGTAGGAAAGAATCACAAGCATCAAGGTGAAGATGAGGGTCACTGCAGCAAGGACAAACTCAATTACTTCTATCAAATGTGTGTCTGAACAGGATAAATGCAACAATACAGTATAGTCACAGCAATAGTGATTGATGATGTTGGATGCACAGAAAGGCAGCTGGAGGGTCATTATATGCGGCACAATGACAACTAAAAAACCAGAGAACCAGGAACATAGGACAAGTAGAATGCAAAGCCTCCTGCTCATCATAGCTGTGTAATGCAGGGGTCTGCAAATGGCCACATAGCGGTCATAGGACATGGCAGCTAGAAGGTAAAATTCAGTTGCTCCTAGAAGAATTGCAAAAAAATACTGAGTGAAACAACCGCCAAAGGAGATGGTCTTGTCTCCAGTTCCAATATTGACTAGCATTTTGGGAACAAAGACAGAAGTAAAGGATATTTCCAAAAATGAAAAATTCCGGAGGAAGAAATACATAGGAGTCTGGAGGTGATGATCAAGCAAGGTCAGAATGATGATGGTCAGGTTTCCCATGATACTTAAAACATAAGTTAGTAGCAGAAAAAGGAAAAGTACAGCTTGAAGCCTGACATCATTTGTCAATCCAAGAAGAATGAACTCTACCACTGGTGTTTGGTTTCCCATCACTGACTTCAAACAAATTAAGGTAGAGTGTAATAATAATGGTAAAGGCTGGAATAAAACTGAAGGTTCCAGATTTTTATTGAAATACAAAATCAAAGTTGATACAATTAGAAATAAAATTTTAAACTCTGAATCTTTTTTCACTTAATATAATTTTCTCTAAGTCCATCCATGTTGTTGCAAATAGGAGCATTTCATTCTTTTTTATAATAGAATTCCATTGTGCAGATACACCACAGTTTCCTTATCCACTCATCTGATGATGAACATTTGGGCTGGTTCCAACTCTTGGCTACTGTAAATAGTGTTGCAATAAACAAGTCAGGCACAGAAAGAGAAATACCACATGTTCTCACTTATTTGTGGGAGCTAAAAATAAATAAATAAATAAAAAAGGGTGGGTGGAAGAAGACACAACAATCAAAACAATTCCTTGAATTTGTTAAGACAAGTGAACAGATATGATGTAGTGAGGGGGAGGGGAAAGAGGGAGAGAGGAGAGGGAGAGGGTGGGGGAAGGAGGAATGGGTTAAGGGACATGAACATCAACTGCAATGTATATTGAGAAGTTAAAATAAAAATAAATAAATAAAACAAAAAAAACTGAATCTTTTTCTATACTTTAGTTTGAAAATGAGATAAACCTCAAAAAAAAATTAACTCATTTTCCTCTTTTGCTTTATAAATAACAAAAGTCCTGCTTCATAGAGACATTTTAAATTATTTCTTCTAAATTGTATCAATTTTTATGTTTCACCATTTTTTCACTTGTCTATAGTTTCCTTCTTATTCTTTCTATTCTGATTTTCCTCTTTTAAGTTATTGGCTGCTGCTACATGTGTGTAAATAAATCTAAAACAAATTTAAAGAGAGTAATTTTTCTTTGAGACTTTTTTTAAAAATTAGCCTTGTAACTCTAAATTTATTAGCCAAAAAAGTAAATATAATTCGACATATGAACTATAAGAATAAAATGGAACTTTGTTGTTTTCTTATTTTTGCTGTTCTGTATTTTTGGCTTATTTCAACTTTTTCATTTTGAATAATGATAACTTTCTGTGTTCAAAGCCTGGGTAGGTTTTTCCCTTAATTCTTAATAAATTATTAGGAATTCATATTAACTACAGCTCCTGGCACATGGCAAGGGCTCAGTTAACACTATCACCATTTAATATAGGCATACAGATTAGTTAGTTCTTATGAAATATTAAATCAAAATAATCCCACTGATTACACTGTTTTACTGCACACAGGATCTGCTCATCAACACAGCATTTACAGTTCCTTAAAAGAGTCAGTTGAAATTCAGCTCTTCATATAACTTTCTCTAACAATTCCAATCAACAATAATTATTTCTCTGCCTTCTTTATAAAATTACACCATGACAAAAAGTCACATTATATTCTAGATATATCAAATATGTATAGTTTTTCAGTCCATATTAAAATAAATAAATCTCCCACAAGAGCAAATACCTATTGCTTTACATATTTTATAGAGGCCAGAAAATTGTGCAGATATGGTTAAAATTTTAATACAAAATAAAATTTTGACTTCATGGCCCTATTTTATTGAATGCTATGGAGTTTTTGTTCAAATAGGAACCTCCTATTAAGTTTATACATACAATTACTCAGGATTTTCTTTCCATATTTCTCATCATCAGACATGAATAAATATTACTGAGAATGCCTTTTCCTACTCAAAAAATTATAAGGGCTTTCTTTTTATTCTAACAATTGTTTCACTACATACATTATCATAATCTCATATTATAATACATAAGTTAGCAGTAGTCACACATCTTATATCTTTATGCAAGTTAAAATTCTGGAAATATTAACAAAGACAAAAGGGCAGTTTTTGCCAAGTTAGGAAGATTTATTATTTGGTGGAATTATATCTGGAAAATTTCAGTGTTTCAATATTACAGCATGAGTCAATTTGCACTTTTGTAGAGTATAGTCTCTTTTGTTTAATACCACACAGGTTAGTTGTAAGAATCAAATATGCGCATATTAAAAAAATATGTATTAATATACTGAAAAGCTATAATATGCTATGAAGTTATGCAATGTTATGTTAAAAATTCTGTTATTTTACTGAATAATCTAGATTACTGTAACAGTAATGTAAATTTAAGCATTAATTGAAATTATGGACCCATGTCTGAAAATATGATCCTGTATACTTTATAATGAGTATAAAAATGAGTGTGAAATATTAAAAATTATGCACAAATAATGAATATTACAAAAATAACTATATAGTCAGAGAACTACAGGCACCCCTCATTTTATTGTGTTTTGCTTTATCACTCTTCACAGATATTGCGTTTTCTACAAATTGAGGTTTTCTGACACTCCTGCACAGAACAAGTCTGTCAGTGCCATTTTTCCAATAGCATGTTCTCACTTTGTGTCTCTGTGTCACATTTTGGTAATTTTCACAATATTTCAAACTTTCTCATATTATTATATCTGTTATTATTATATCTGTGATCAGTGATCTTTGATGTTACAATTGTAATGGGGGGGTGCCACAAACTGTGCCAATATAAGACAGCAAACTTAACTGATAAATGTGTGTGTTCCTACTGCTCCACTGACCTACCATTCTCCTATCTCTCTCCCCTCCCTCTCCTTGGGCTTCCCTATTCCCCGAGACAAACCCTACAATGGTCCCTAGGTGTTCAAGTGAAAGAACAGTCACATATTAACACTTTCAATCAAAAGCTAAAAATAATTAAGCTTAGTGAGGAAGGCATGTTAAAAGTGAAGGCATGATGAAAGCTGGGCCCCTTGCACCAAACAGTTAGCCAAGTTGTAAATGCAAAGAACAAGTTCTTGAAGGAAATTAAAAATGCTACTCCAGTGAACACATAAATGATAAGAAAGTAAAATGCCTTGTTAGTGATGTGCAAGAAGGTTTGATGTGCAAGAAGGTTTGATGGTCTGGACAGAAGATCAAACCAACCATAACATTTGCTTAAGCCAAAGCCTAATTCAAAGCAAGTTCCTAACTCTCAATTCTATGAAAACAGGGAGAGGTGGTGAAGAAGAATCAGAAAGAAAGTTTGAAACTAGCAGGGGTTGGTTTATGAGATTTAAGGAAAGACAACGTCTCCATCACTTCAAAGTGAAAGGTAGAGCAAGAAGTGTTGATGTAGAAGCTGCAGCAAGTTACCCAGAAGATTTAGCTAAGATCATTGATGAAGGTGGCTCCACTGAACAACAGATTTTCAGTGTAGACAAAACAGCCTTCTATTAAAAGAAGATGCAATGTAGGACTTTCATTGCTAGAGAGGAGGAGTCAATAATGCACTTCAAAGCTGCAAAAACAAGCTGACTTTCTTTGTTAGGGGCGAATGCAGCTGGTGATTTCAAGTTGAAGCCAATGTTTATTTACTATTCTGAAAATCCTAGGGCCCTTAGGAATTATGCTGAATCTACTCTGCCTGTGCTCTATAAGTAGAACAACAAAGCCTGGGATGACAACACATTTGTTTACAGCACAGTTTACTGAATATTTTAAACCCACTGTTGAGACTTTTTAAGCTCAGAAAAAAAGACTCCTTTCAAAATATTACTGCTCATTGACAACATGCCTAATCACTCAAGATCTCTGATGAAGGTGTACAAAAAGATTCATGTTGTTTTCATGCCTGCTAATACAACATTCTGTCTTACTATTTAAGAAATATATTTTATAAGGCTATAGCTGCCATATATAGTATTTTCTCTGATGGATCTGGGCAAAGTAAATAGAAAATCTTCTGGAAATAATTCACCATTCTAGACGCCATTAAGAACAGTTGTAATTCAGAAGAGGAGACCAAAATATTGACATTAACAGGAGTTTGGAAGAAGTTAATTCCAATCCTCATGGATGGCTTTGATATGTTCAATTCAGTGGAGGAAGTAATTGCAGATGTGATAGAAATAGAAAAAGAAATAGATTTAGAAGTGGAGCCCAAAGATGTGACTGACTTGCTGCAATTTTGTGACAAAAATTTTTAGATGAGGAGTTGCTTTTTATGTATGAGCAAAGAAAGTGGTTTCTTGATATGGAATCTACTCCTGATTAAGATGCTATGAGCATTGTTGAAAAGACAACAAAGGATTTAGAATATTACATAAAATTAGTTAATAAAGCAATGACAGGTTTTGAAAGAATTGACAACAATTTTGAAAGAAGTTCTACTGTGGGTAAAATGCTATCAAACAGCATCACATACAACCAAGAAATCTTTCATGAAAGGAAGAGCCAATCTATGTGTCAAAGTTTATTGCCGTCTTATTTTGTTAAATTGCCACAGCCACCCCAACATTCAGCAACCACCACCCTAATCAGTCAGTAGCCATCAACATTGAGGCAAGACCATTAACCAGCAAAAAGACTGGCTCACTAAAGGCTCATGTAATAGTTAGCATTTTTTTAACAATGGAGTATTTTTTAATTAAGGTATGTACATGTTTAGACATAATTGCTATTGCACAGAATAGACTACAGTGTAGTTTAAACATAACTTTTGTATGCACTGGTAAACCCAAAAATTCATGTGATTTGCTTTATTGCAATATTTCCTTTATTGTAGTGGTCTGAAACCAAACCCACAATAACTCGAAGATCACCTGTATTTGGACATTATTTCCACTATGACAAAATAGTTCACTAAATTATAATATTCCCAAAATTTAGTTGAATAAATCTTGAGGACTTGATGAGTGAATAATGACTTTCTGTTTCTGCAAGAAAACAGAATGCCTCTGATCATGTACAGATATCAATTTCTGTCTTCTAGTTTGAGATCCTAAATAATAGTTACGACCTAAAATTCTAACATAGAAAATAATTAATCAAGCAACTGCATTCACTAAAGAACATTAATATTCTGAAATTTCCCTTATTTACATAGTTACTTTTTGACGAAATAAAAACTTTATAAGTGATTGTTAACTTTTTTTAATAAATTAATGAGTGAGGGAACAAAAATGAG